ACCAAATTTCAATTACTCCTGATTCTGAAACCATGGATCTCTTACAGAAGGGGCTATATTTTTCCTAGGTAACGAAGGAAACGTTTTTACTTATTTTCAGGCGGAAGTTGTCAAAATTTCGGATTAATATCCAGAAAAGAAAAAAAAGGAGATAAAAATAGAATTTATCCCATCAATCCTGGCACATCAAGAACCGATTCCCAGGGGTGGGTCGACTGGTATACGGAAAAAAATACAAAAGAATGATCAATTAATTTTTAAGGCTGATTAGATAGGAGCGACTATTGTAATGGACAGGAACCAGTACACTGGAAAAATCGAAAGTATCCTAGGCGACCGGAACATTTATCAAATAGTAATAAAGGATCCAACCATGAAGATCAACATGAAATTGTAGAATGTATTAAAGGAAATGCATAATAATGGGGAAATTGGTAGATTGATGATGAAATATTTAGTCGAAAATGACCTGAGACTACCGACAGTCTACAGACTACCGAAAATAATTAGGGAAAGAAATCCACTGAGATTAAGAGTCAACAACAAACATTCAGCAACAAGCAAACTAGCGAAATTCATCTGCTTGAAGCTCAAGAAAGTAAATGACACTAGGATACCGCTACCAATTCATATGAATTTTCTCAAAGCACCCAGAACATTATCTGGGGGGGACAGAACTGCTGGTGAATTTCGATGTATGATACATGGGAAGGCGGTAAATGCATTGCTGGAGATATTGGAGCGAGATGATACCCTGGAGGCAGAACGGATAGGGAAGGAATGGCTAACACAACTGATCGAAATGACAATAAGGACTACATTTTTACATTTGACGGCAGTATCTACGAGCAAATATTTGGACTACCGATGTGATCTGAGCTCTCAACTCTTTTTGCAAATGTCTACATGGACAAGTTGGAAGAGGAATTCGAGAAGTCACTACTGCAACCAAGAGTGCTCATGTGATACTTGGTTGACTACTTTGCAATTTGGTCACATGACAAGGAAAATTTGAATGGGTTCCTCAATTTCATTAACCAACTTGATGAAAGAATTAAATTGACTATGGAGGTGGAAGAAAATGAACGACTACCCCTTCTGGATATTGAAGTCATGCGCTCCGACGGGACACTCGTGAGGAGACTATACAGAAAGAATTCATACTTTTCAGTCTCACAATAACTACTGACTGAATATCAGAATGCTGATGAGTTTGTTCATCAGAAGCTTACGACTAACGGACACAGTTCTGGGACGAGGAGTTGGACAAACTGAAAGCGATTTGCTTTAGTAATCGGGTACCCTAGAGAATTTACATAACAAAATGTAGATGTTATAAAGGGCAGATTCCATTTCGGAGTATATGAAAATCCAATCAGTGATTATGACTACCAAAGTTGGCTTGACTGCCCTCATCTGAACTGAGCCAAAAATTGCGACCGTTGCTATCGAAATGTAATATCAAGGTGATGACAAAGGGGATGACAGCACTACCATTCTGCCCACGCAACACGAGAAGACTGGCAAACTCGAATGCTCATGAGTTTATTACATCAAATGTGGCAACTGTAAGCAGAAGTATATAAGTGAAACAGCAAGAAAAATTGGCCCACGAATCAAGGAACACCAAAGACTGCAAGAACCTGGATGCGGAAAGATCCCAAATAGCGGAACCCATTGCATGAACGCGACTCAAAATCGTCAGAAAGGCTGGCCACATATAGTGAAAATAGGAGAAAACTCAAGATCCGAGATGCTATCGATTTACTGACTGAGAGAAATCTAAGGTACATGAGTCACGAAGAATGGAGGATCAACAAAAACTTTGCATATTGGCCAAACTATGAGAAGACAAGGCAATAGTAAGATCAACAAAAAGAAGACGACTGGATCAAAGTAGCAACTTTAATTTAACGAAAATAAATCACGAGACGAGAAAGAAATGATCAGAAGCCAAAAAGAGACGCCTTAGTGAGCCTAATCAAAACAAGTAGAACCACAACATTTGTGGGTTAGCACACAAGATACTTTAACATAGGAAATCATAGACTTGGTATTATGGATAGAGACGAAATAGACGCAGTGGAGGCTATCGCCATTCGGCTAACAATAGACGTGTTTGATCAATGATGTGATTCATTAAACACGTCTATTGTTAGCCAACTAGCTCTAGCATTCACCGCGTCTATCATGTTTCTATCCTCAATACCAAGTCTATGACTACTTATCCCCTAGTCTAGGATTGATCTCCATGTCTATTATTTTTCGTTTGGGCATTTTTCGAACGAGACGAGGCAGATCTCTTGGGGTAATTTAATGTCCGAGTTAAATTTTTCCGCAGCAAGATGAATCAACTTCACTACGCCTTTGAGTTTAGCATAGCTTTATACTCTGGAATGGACTGCAGTTTTGAGATCCTCGGTGTATCATCAGCACTCCTAACAGAATGCCAGATATACGTTTACGCGTGAAATATCGGTAATTTAGTAATTCGTCAAGCAGCTTTAGTAAATATATTTGAATAAAAGTTAGGTTTCAAAGAATCTTGAAAGCTTAGCAAGTTCTCACTGGAATCAAGCGAGATTGCCTCGGAAACAACGTCAATTAGAATGTTTCAGTAAAGCCAACTGGTCAAGAGCAATGCGCCACCGTCTTCTGGAGAAATCGATCTTCAAATCTGCCAAACACTCGCTCTAAGTAGAAGTAGGCTCAGCAATTAAGAAACTCACATTTCTTTCTAGGGAATTTTACTGTTAGTTCTTAGTTCACCTTGACCGACCTATGGTCACTCAAATTTGTCTAGTTGTTTAACTTAGTATTTACTTGTTGAAATTTCTACAGTGCATTGTATTATAAAGACTGGGATAAGCCATTCGTGAATATTTTTTGGATTTCATTCAAAATGTAGCTGAAGACGATTCGAATCTCGTGTTAATCGATTATTTTTTTATGACTCCTGTTGCGAGAAAATTTTTCTAGCATTTTTTGCTCACCTCAAGCAACCTATAGTGACTTACATTCGTCTTTTTGATACGAGAACCAAGATGGTGTGGTCTCTTTATAGGTATTAAATCAAGGCTCCGATGTGTTATATGCTTTACAGAAGTCTTTCAAAAGTTCCAAAATCGGCCGAAAAAAACTTGCATAGGATCTCTGACTTAATATAAAAGAAGCCAGCTCCTCCAGTTCTTGTTTTTTACCAGGTGATAGGAGCTGATCGTTTGAAGATCGGGATAAAGCGACGAATTTATCCAGGTTTACTTGATATCAAAATTATTAATATCTTTAACAAAGTATTGAACTTTTCTCTTCAAAATTATAGAAACATTATATAAACCATTCAGATGGAGGCAATCACTATGTCCAAAAAGTCTCCTGAGGAGACAAAACGGGGAATTGAGGTCTAAATAATCCCAATAATATCGTCACATCAAGAACCAATAAATAAGAACATATTCGATTGGATTCGCATGCCTAAAGTGAATGAGAAATTAGTACCTCAGGCGGTTAAAGGGAGGCAGCAATAATAATAGACACTAAGCAATATTCCAATAAGGTCAAAAGTAGGATAAGTCGGACCAAGTATTCTGAACTAAACAAGTATCCAACCATGAGGAACAATGTAACCATGCATGATATGTGTAAGCTACGCGTAGGAACGGCGAGATCGATGGTGAAACGATGGATACAGGACAACTGATATCTTACGGATTGCCTGAGATACACAACTAAGGCCGATTGTCAGCTACAAGTACGGAGATAAGCACAAATATAAAAAGTTCGTATGGTTGATACTTAATATGCTAAGCGACAGGTCATCAAACTCAGTGAAACGTTCATATGCATCTTCTCAATGGATCGAAAACATGGCAATGGAAGAATCGGAATTACGATTAAGGTTTAATGTAGAATCTATCTCCTCTAGCAGCTCCGGAGAAAATGTGCTAATTGCACTGCTAGTAATCTTGAAACGAGCAGGCAGGATCAGGAGGGAGTCGTTAGCACGAATAATCAACTTGACAATAAGTACTACTTACCTCAAATTCAACGGTAGTATCTATAAAGAAATGATTAAATTTCTAATGAAACAGCCACTCACCATTTTTGGCAATCGTATACATAATAAAATTAGGAATAACCCGAGATACCGCAGTTGGATCCAATAAAGCTCAGACAATACCTTTACGACTATTTCGTATTTTGGTAGCATGGAAGAGAATATTTATATG